TGTTTCCAACATTAATTTTTCTATTTTCGTGTGATGCCAGCAATACTATCTTTAATGTTGTGCGTCTCGTTTCCAAGAAGTAGATGTTCTGACAAATCAAATTCAACTAGTCACAACTGATCTCTACCAGTCACAACCGATCTCTACCATTCACAACTGATCTCTACCAGTCACAACCGATCTCATCCAGTCACAACTGATCTCTACCAGTTACAACTGATCTCTACCAGTTAAAACCGATCTTTACCAGTTACAACCGATCTCTACCAGTTACAACCGATCTCTACCAGTTACAACTGATCTCTACCAGTCAATACCGATCTCTACAAGTTAAAACCGATCTCTACCAGTCACAACTGATCTCTATCAGTCACAACCGATCTCTACCAGTCACAACCGATCTCTACCAGTTAAAACCGATCTCTACCAGTCACAACTGATCTCTACCAGTCACAATCGATCGCTACCAGTCACAACTGATCTCTACCAGTCACAACTGATCTCTACCAGTCACAACTGATCTCTACCAGTCACAACCGATCTCTACCAGTCACAACCGATCTCTACCAGTCACAACTGATCTCTTCCAGTTACAACCGATCTCTACCAGTCACAACCGATCTCTACCAGTCACAACCGATCTCTATCAGTCACAACTGATCTCTACCAGTCATAACTGATCTCTACCAGTCACAACTGATCTCTACCAGTCACAATCGATCTCTATCAGTCACAACTGATCGCTATCAGTCACAACCGATCTCTACCAGTCACAACTGATCTCTACCAGTCACAACCGATCTCTATCAGTCACAACTGATCTCTACCAGTCACAACTGATCTCTTCCAGTTACAACCGATCTCTACCAGTCACAACTGATCTCTACCAGTCACAACTGATCTCTACCAGTCACAACTGATCTCTACCAGTCACAACTGATCTCTACCAGTCACAATCGATCTCTACCAGTCACAACTGATCTCTACCAGTCACAACTGATCTCTACCAGTCACAACTGATCTCTACCAGTCACAATCGATCTCTACCCGTCACAACTAATCTCTACCAGTCACAATCGATCTCTACCAGTCACAACTGATCTCTACCAGTCACAATCGATCTCTACCAGTCACAATCGATCGCTATCAGTCACAACCGATCTCTACCACTCATCGCTGGAATCTATCAGTTACTGCTGATATCTACCCGACCGCTGATATTTACCAGCCACCACCGATCTCTACCACTCACAATTGATCTCGTCTCCCCGATCAACGATTACCTTTTATATTGCCTGGCCTGATTTTCTTTCAAAGGGTTGTACCTATAAACGTCTGCCAACGAAAAAAATGTTTACACATGGGTATTTACTTTGCGTAACGGATTGAATAACACAAAAGTCGGTCAAGTTATTGAAACCGAGCTTGTATTCGGGGTCATGCCATAGAAAATTAAAAAAGGAAAAACCTTTGTTAAACATTACTAGAAGAATGCATCTTAAAATACGCAACTGTTTTCTTTAATAGTTACCAAAAATACGAATTTCCTCAAATCAGAATATTAATTAAGTCTCCAAAAACCATAAAATTGGTCAAAGCTTTTCTGGATTCAAATGTAAATGAATAAAATAAAAATCTTTAAAGTTTTAATCGCTATATAGTTAGTAACACTTGTGCGTGTCAGGACGATCCTGCAAGCGATGGTTTACTAATGACCAGGATATAGTGCGAACACGATGGACCAACAAGGGACAATTTACTAATGAACGGGATATAGTGCGAACATGATGGACTAACAAGGGACAGTTTACTAATGACTAAGATATAGTGCGAACATGGTGGACTAACAAGAGACAGTTTACTATTGACTGAGCAGGGATAGAAAAATCCACTCGTCCGCTCGTCTAGACGAGTCGGAGCTACTTTCGGGCGAGTGATTTGTTTCAGCTACTTGTCCGGCGGGCAAGTGAAATTAGTAGTTCTGACTATTGAATATCAACTTGGACACTCTTAAAACTAATTTAAATCCACCGATAGTCGATCAAATACATCGATGTAGTATCCTTCTTTACACCACGTGTCAAGACTCGGGCTGATCCAGACTACGCGAAAACCTATTACGTCACCACAAATGTTGTTAATTAGGTTGTTTTGTGTACGTAGTTACTGTCAAAAAGTCGATGTTCTCGCTCGCGTTCACAGTGAATTAAATATGAGTAAAACAATAAAAGCAAGTGTTGAGTTCAAACATTTGATATAGAAAATGATAATAAAATGTGAGTTCCTTAAATTATGTTTTGTTGTCTTTTTTCTTCTGGTGAGTGAATATTGGATTCGAGCAAGTGAATTTCAAGTTTCACTTGCCCGACAAACGAGTAGCTGAAAATATTTTTCTAGCCCTGCTGAGATATAGTGCGAACATGATGGACCAACAAGGGACAGTTCACTAATGACTGAGATATAGTGCGAACATAATGGACCAACAAGGGACAGTTTACTAATGACTGAGATATAGTGCGAACATGATGGACCAACAAGGGACAGTTTACTAATGACTGAGATATAGTGCGAACATGATGGACCAACAAGGGACAGTTTACTAATGACTGAGATATAGTGCGAACATGATGGACCAACAAGGGACAGTTTACTAATGACTGAGATATAGTGCGAACATGATGGACCAGTAAGAGATAGTTTACTAATGACCGAGATATAGTGCGAACATGATGAAACAACAAGGAATAGTTTACTAATGACCGAGATATAGTGCGGACATGATGAACCAACAAGGGACAATTTACTAATGACCGGGATATAGTGCGAGGAGGCACGCCTTAACAATATTCCGCATGCTTGTCATTGTTGATAGGTTATTACAAACAGTGACGACTGATGGAAAGGTTAATATCTACCCAATAGAATCGAGATATAATTGTGATTCCGTTATGTCGCAATTTTCCTTTGGCCTTATACTTGAACATTCTCATCGCGCAAACACAGACAAGGAAAATGAAATATTTATCTTCACATCTGCTCTTCAGACAACGTTTAAATATATAACGAAAACTGGACCTAAACAAATTTTGTCAATTTCAACATTTGACGTTTTTAAATCCACTGATAGGAACCGACGGCTTTGAAAATTGTGCCTAGAACCTGTGTTTAAGTACATATTCACATCTTAATATAAGGTATAATTACATAAGTGGAGTTTTGTAGCTAACTGCATATAAATGTGCTGCTTCTGTAAAGAGTACAGTATATTTCATAATGTTGGCTTCAAAAGATGGCTGGTTTCCAAGATTAATTATAATGATACAAGACAATGTCACATAAGATGACACTAATAACAAATATATCACGTGACACTTCATTAGAGCACGTATCTATAGATAGACTGCAGCTCAAGCTGACGCAATCTTCATACCGAGACGGCTCAGTTGCAAAGAAGAATACTCCGTGTCAAATAAAGAATTTAAATCACATCAGACACAGATTCGTATCAGATTTATGTATAATTCATAATATTTTGCCAGCAAACCACTGTTTGTTTATCTAATTCGCCCGAACTCTATGTACAGTAGGAATTAAGTTTTCCCAAACGTTATACAAAAAGTTACCGATAAATAATTTGAGTTAGATTCGGTCATCCACTCTATAAAAAACAAAAAACGAGATCGAACGTGATTGAAGACAACTTTCTAAATGAGCTAATCTGCCATAAAGGACACGTTAAAAAAACCCACTGAAGACAAAACACGTTGTATTAACTGCTGTTAACAAACGTTTTACTCCTGTACTTGTGAAACCTTATCTGTCGCGGTCAATCGCCCGTAACCGGAAAATCTTTATAGTGGCGTAGTATGCGTGTATTATTTATCAAACTGTCGACTAAGTACATCCAGTTTAGGGATATTGAGGATAAAACAAAACGTGGTTAGTACGCATATATAACGCCTCAGTACGCCAACAGTACACAGAGTAAGGTTGGAGAATGTGTTCTAAGGATAATCCTCTCGCTCATTAGGTTAGGTGTACTGTTGACCCAGAATTAACCTCACCAGCCCTAACTTGTGTGAATCGCCATGTTGTGGTATTATCCGAGTTTTATTTTTCTTCTCTCAACAGCTATTTCTCCGCCATTTCTACGGCGGATTGCCATGTGGTCGACATGTTTGTATTAAAGAATAAAATTTAGGCATGAGTAACGTGTAAATAATGAAAACTTCGCCAGGAATTCGTGAGTGTATACACTTGGCTCGCAACATCCATTGTTGGAACATGTTTACCTCGCACCTTACCAGAATTAGAAAATTGTTTTTTTGTTCTACCTTTCTCAGACATTCTTCTGTTTTACTCAGTGACCATGGTGTAAATAAGAGTTTATATATAGGAACGTTCATCTCACGAATGACAAGAACAGATATAAAGGAAAGCCAGCACATGGCGTATCTATCGTAACTCGATACGGCCTAGATACCATGCGGTCTTCTTATGGTAGCTGTTGTGCTCGCGTACATTCTGTAAACAAGTCAACAAATACGTTAAAAGCAGCGAAACTGTTACGGTCAACTTTAAAACGCCGTTCAGCTTGACCTATTTTTGACCATTCTATTTACGCGGGAAATTGTAAACCATACGAGTAACGGATGAGCAAATCAATACATGTGTATGTGGTTTACAATCGTGTCTGGAACATGGTGGCCCAGGCTAGCGAAGACTGCGTGATATTTACATTTTACTTTTCGTTGACGTGGTTAAATTCTGAATTAATTCTAATAAAATCTTCGCCAAATTTGGTATCCGATTCCATGTATACTATAGCCAGCACGTGGTTAGCTACATCATCATATAAACCAAGAACTGACACGAAACATGATCACACCATACAGAACAAAAAAACAATACACACACATACACGACATATGGTGACGAAACAAGACACAATGAAAACACCATGGGAAACAAAAACACGTCAGAATTATATTAAAATTTACCTCCTCCATGTTGTTGAACAAGATAGGGAAATCTCCAAACATTTCCAAGTCCAACAGCATAGCTGATCACCATAAAAAAATATTGTAATTTGCTATCCCATTTAGCACGTGCTTTTCCATTTGCTCCGATCTCGTCTGTATTAAGAGGCACTGTCAATTCGCCATTTGCCTCTTCCTCTAAAACATTTTTCTTGGTCATGATATCGAGCTTTCCACGATGTTTACTAGCAATAGTAATAGTAGTCTATGAATGGACTGGTACAGTGGACGATACCAAGTAGGACAGGGGAGGTAAGCTTCTTGATACATTAAAAGCCGTGTCATAAAACGTGTATTTTTTTTAAGCCGGTGAACCATTTGCATGTTTGCGTTTTGCGTATTAATATCATTACGTTTCATATCGAGGAACCTTCTTGACCAGTCCAATAAAATGAGAAAGTCTCGCTATTGAACACGAACTATTGTAACACAAATCGGGGTCAACTGAACTAGAAATTAGAACATTATCGCCATGACTATTTATAACAAAAAAATAGAATAAAAAAGACGACATGGAATATGCCAAAACTGTATTTTTTTTAGTCGGACATAGTTCCAATGAATTACCCTCAATAACCGTACGTCATCCTCGAAGCTCCATAGCTTACCATCACTTTCGCTGTCTGCACGGTGCAGGGAGCGAAAGTGGTCGTAACCCCTGGAGTATCGAGGATGACCAAACGTTAGAATAACCTGTTACTTAACAGCTAAATTGAGTTTGATACTTGTATGAAAATTAGCCGATTCTTGTGTTTTAGCGTTATAATACATGATAACAGTCCGATGGAAGTAGATTCATTTTAATATTTTACGTGCCTACGACTTTTGGACGATCGTCGGGTGAAGATCATGCAAAACAAATCGATATCTGCCTGCCCTACACACAATTTTAGTGCGCACGCGAGATCAGTGTCTGCATATCTCAAATAGACGATGTCGATTGCGGCGATGTCAGACCATTTATCACAGAATCGAAATCAACATCACAGAAATGTGTGACATAGTGAAATTGAACAAGATTAATCCGCCAATATTAACAATCAAGACAGGCTTAACATATGGCTGTTTCTAAAGAAAACCAGCAACACTAAAGGTGTTTCAACAAAGTTTCATGTCAAAGATGTGTTTTGATGAAATTTATATTCTCTATAAATGAAAGCCGATAGCCAAGCCATTCAGAATCTATTTATTTACTTATTTATTTATCAATTTAATTGTTATTATCTTACCGTATGTTGTTTTTCATGTTTGGAACAATGTTGTAGTCTTTCAAACTCATATTATAAATGCTATATAAATATTTTGCATTTAGTTCAAATCGATGTACTTCTGTCATATTTTTTTGGAAATTAATATTTGTACGTTTACATTTACATTTTAATATGATCGTGAAATAAGGCCATATTTCTTGGAAGAGCATCAAAAGTTTTAGTTATGACGTCATAACGATGACAAGTGAACTATGACATTTATGGTCGATATATTTACCCCTGAACGGCACTTGTATTAAACAGTCTATCAAGTTAAGCGTTTAAGTAATATGTTGTTATCAAGCATGTCGTGCTCAGTAAATTGAGGGACACGAATATTTGAGTCCAGTACCGAAGCTTTTCCGTTGTTACTCGGTCAAGTTTTGAGAACTCATTATATTTCTTTGTAACTGGACTCCTCATCAAACGGTGCTCGAAGACTCCTAACAAAACTACCGTCGTGCATATAAATTATCATCTCACATTCAGCGTTTGACGTCAACTTAATTATGACGTCATAATAACTAATTCATGTCAAATCGGTGGAAATACGACATTGCTTGTCACCTGTGTCAATCAAGCCTTGCTATGACGTAATGATGTCATCAACTACCCCCCTTCCCCCCCCCCCCCCCCCCCCCCCCCCCCTTTCCATGGACTTTTTGAGGATTTTGCTCGCTGTAAAGAAATTGTAAAAGAAGAGGAAGCCCTTGGAACAAGGCATTGGCATTTGGATGCTCGTTCCCGGACGAATTAAGATATTCGTTAGAAAATGCTCACTGTATTGACATTTTAATTTATAAACAAACATAATTTTTTTTCCATTTGAACACTTTCAAACTTTCCATGGACTTTTTGAGGATTTTGCTCGCTGTAAAGAAATTGTAAAAGAAGAGGAAGCCCTTGGAACAAGGCATTGGCATTTGGATGCTCGTTCCCGGATGTTTCTGATAGTACCCCGGTCTTCTGTCACATGGATTCAACCTGTTTACCATATACTAGCCAACAACAGTAATTAGTTAAAGTTGATAATCATCGTAAAATAAAATCTACAGTTTAGAGAGGTCACGACCTTTCCGCTCACTAAGTGGAAGGAATTGGCATTAGGGTTTATACTAACCAGGTCATGTTATAGTCATTCAGCCAGGAGCTTACCATTGTTGTCCGCGAGGCCAAGGCTATTCATCGTAGACGTAGGGGTATTCACACCAACAAAAAAAAATACTACTCGAATGGGGACGTCAGTTTACGGACCCCACCTGTACTACCATAACCAAACAACTCAAGCACTACATAATTCGATACAAAATAAACATCTAAAGTCTATTATATAAATAAAAAAGTAAAATGATATTTTAGAAATTCAGACGACACGTCGTCAAACGATGAACATGTAGACCAAGTTGACAGATCCAGATTGTACATTTTTTCACATTCAAGGCTCCATATATCAGAATGTCTCCAGCTACACACCATTGTGATGTCTACAGTAGAGCATTGTTATGTCAGCTGTCTTTACTACAACTGATTTCATTCGGAATTTATCTGAGTGAAACTTCGGTAAGTCTAATGTCTAAGTCAAACCTCTATATATTAGATGAAACCATTAAATCTGGTAAAAGTCAAAAAGTAAAATTTTGTTGTCAGGTGTCAATAGTCAAACTTTGTTAGGTCAGGTGTCAATAGTCAAACTTTGTTATGTCAGGTGTCAATAGTCAAACTTTGTTATGTCAGGTGTCAATAGTCAAACTTTGTTATGTCAGGTGTCAATAGTCAAACTTTGTTGTGTCAGGTGTCAATAGTCAAACTTTGTTATGTCAGGTGTCAATAGTCAAACTTTGTTAGGTCAGGTGTCCACAGTCAAACTTTGTTATGTCAGGTGTCAATAGTCAAACTTTGTTATGTCAGGTGTCAATAGTCAAACTTTGTTATGTCAGGTGTCAATAGTCAAACTTTGTTATGTCAGGTGTCAATAGTCAAACTTTGTTATGTAAGGTGTCAATAGTCAAACTCCTTGTCAGGTGTCAATAGTCAAACTTTGTTAGGTCAGGTGTCAATAGTCAAACTTTGTTATGTCAGGTGTCAATAGTCAAACTTTGTTATGTCAGGTGTCAATAGTCAAACTTTGTTATGTCAGGTGTCAATAGTCAAACTTTGTTATGTAAGGTGTCAATAGTCAAACTCTGTGTCAGGTGTCAATAGTCAAACTTTGTTATGTCAGGTGTCAATAGTCAAACTCCTTGTCAGGTGTCATGTCAAACTTTGGTGTCAATAGTCAAACTTTGTTATGTCAGGTGTCAATAGTCAAACTCAAACTTGTTATGTCAGGTGTCAATAGTCAAACTTTGTTATGTCAGGTGTCAATAGTCAAACTTTGTTATGTCAGGTGTCAATAAACTCTGTCAAACTTTTGTTATGTGTGTCAGTCAAACTTTGTTATGTCAGTGTCAATAGTCAAACTTTGTTATGTCAGGTGTCAACTTTGTTATGTGTCAGGTGTCAATAGTCAAACTTTGTTATGTCAGGTGTCAATAGTCAAACTTTGTTATGTCAGTCAGGTGTTATGTCAATAGTCAAACTTTGTTATGTCAGGTGTCAAGAGTCAAACTTTGTTATGTCAGGTGTCAACAGTCAAACTTTGTTATGTCAGGTGTCAATAGTCAAACTTTGTTACTTTGTTTTGTTATCAGGTGTCAATAGTCAAACTTTGTTATGTCAAGTGTTAAGTCAAACTTTGTTATGTCAGGTGTCAATAGTCAAACTTTGTTATGTCAGGTGTCAATAGTCAAACTTTGTTATGTCAGGTGTCCACAGTCAAACTTTGTTATGTCAGGTGTCAATAGTCAAACTTTGTTATGTCAGGTGTCCACAGTCAAACTTTGTTAGGTCAGGTGTCAAAAGTCAAACTTTGTCATGTCAGGTGTCCACAGTCAAACTTTGTTATGTCAGGTGTCAATAGTCAAACTTTGTTATGTCAGGTGTCAATAGTCAAACTTTGTTATGTCAGGTGTCAATAGTCAAACTTTGTTATGTCAGGTGTCAATAGTCAAACTTTGTTATGTCAGGTGTCAATAGTCAAACTTTGTTATGTCAGGTGTCAATAGTCAAACTTTGTTATGTCAGGTGTCAATAGTCAAACTTTGTTGTGTCAGGTGTCAATATTCAAACTTTGTTAGGTCAGGTGTCACAGTAAAACTTTGTTATGTCAGGTGTCCACAGTCAAACTTTGTTATGACAAAAGTCCACAGTCAAACTTTGTTATGACAGGTGTCCACGGTCAAACCTTGTTATGACAGGTATCTACGGTCAAACTTTGTTATGTTAGGTGTCAATAGTCAAACATTGTTATGTCAGGTGTTCACAGTCAAACTTTGTTATGTTAGGTGTCAATAGTCAAACATTGTTATGTCAGGTGTCCACAGTCAAACTTTGTTATGTCAAGTGTTAAGTAAAACTTTGTTATGACAGGTGTTCACAGTCAAACTTTGTTATTTCAGGTGTCAATAGTCAAACTTTGTTATGTCAAGTGTTAAGTCAAACTTTGTTATGTCAGGTGTCCAGTCAAACCTTGTTATGTTAGGTGTCTTTGTTATTTCAGGTGTCAATAGTCAAACTTTGTTATGTCAAGTGTTAAGTCAAACTTTGTTATGTCAGGTGTCCAGTCAAACCTTGTTATGACAGGTATCTACGGTCAAACTTTATTATGTCACATGCCTACAGTCAAACCTCATTATGTCAGGTGTCTATAGTCAAACCTTATTATGTAACATGTCTACAGTCCAACCTCATTATGCAAGATGTCTAGTCAAACCTCATTATGTCACATGTCTACAGTCAAACCTCATGCCAGATGTCTATAGTCAAACCTCATTATGTCACATGTCTACAGTCAAACTATGTTATGTCAGGTGTCCACAGTCAAACCTTATTATGTCACATGTCTACAGACAAACCTCATTATGTCAGGTGTCTACAGTAAAACCTCATTATGTCACATGCCTACAGTCAAACCTCATTATGTCACATGCCTACAGTCAATCCTCATTATGTCACATGTCTATAGTCAAACCTCGTTATATTAAATGACGTATAAAAGTAATCTTCGTTATTTTAAGATGTATGCAGTCGTAATATCTGTGTCTTCTGAACTCGTTAGCTAAAACTTGTGAGGATGTCTACAGTCAAATCTCGATATGAATCTTATAAGTATATATGGAGGTTTCATTAGTGTAAGGCATGCTGTCATTTGAGAACGTGACATTCATATAACTTCGATATGTTACGGTATCTGCAGTGAAATTTCAGTACCTCAATCATCTCCACGCTTATAACCAGACCTTACAAAACTTCTTGCCCCAGTATGTTTTCAAACTGTCAAATGTATACATGTGTATTTATCTTTTCTCGGTATTTTCGACGTAAATAATGTACTTTTTGAATCAACGAAGTGTTTAATAAGTAGATTTCGTGGTAATTGGGCAATTGAGAATTCGAAATACAGTTTATTTTTTAAAGGATCCACAGGAAATTGTTTGTGACGAACACAGTTTTATGATATACATGTAACAACTGACAACGCCTATACTTAGTGTATCGGCTTCATTTAGAATTCTTCTCATTTCCGAAATATCCCGCCATGTTATCTACCAGGTCATATGGAGGTTAGCCATATCGGCCACACCCTCGGTTGTTTGACAAAACAAGTCTTTTCCAAACCAGAGTAACAGTTTTATATACACTCCGAGACAACAGTGCCGTTTATAATCAATCTTAGCAAGTGATGAATTTCCTGTCTAGCAGTGCACGTCATTTCCTCCTAACTTTTACGACACACGTGCACGGCGAGGTTGTGGAACCAAATTGCTTAATCACTGTCTAAAGAAATCCTATTTAGGTTGGAACTAACTGCAGTCTATGGTCAAGTTAAGGTTAAAATTTGTAAGAAAACAACCAGCCAGTTATCAATAATCGGTCATTCTCCTGGGTTGGCGTGCTGACAAAACATTCAGTGTACGGTTGTCAGTGTACAATTGTACATTGAGGACAAATCCTGGGCAGAAGTAACCGCTCGAGCATGTATGGCATGTATCCCGTCAAAATGTTATCGTAACTTCATTTATCATTAATCCCCAATGACGTCTTTGGATCGTGCTGCATGTTCTGATCTGTCAGAGTTACTGCCCTTTGTTTCACTCTCGAATGGCGATAAGAATGGGTAGCAGGAAACAGTCAATTTGCATTTTTTCCTGAAATTATTGGTCATATTTGAGATATACAGGTATAGCAGTTTAGTTATTAAAATACATCCTTACATGTATGTATATATATATATATCTGTAAACTACATAACAATTACATATATAATAGAGAAATAAAAAATGTGTAAACCAAAAATTTTCTCTGATTTCTGACATGTGATTGCCATGGTTACAAACTCAAAAAAATGCTTAAAGTGCACAAATACTATTCATTCTAACCTTAAACTACAACTTTATACATGAAATTTATTTCTGAACATCTCAGTCTCAAAATCAGCAATATTGTCATGGTAACAAGCTACACGTGATGTACTTACATTTCAGCAAATTCCAACTCGGAACGCTTTCACATCATGACCACGTGTAAACACTTTGTTACCGATGAGACAACGCCTAGAGATAGGAGCTCGAGGAGTCAAGGAGACGAACAACCTGTAAGGAACGAACTAACCTGAGGAATTCCTGCCAAGTCCCTGTGGTTCATACAAATTGTAACACGGTGACAAGGGATGTAACTGCTGAAAACGGAAAACTGAACGGAATTCTTAATTTTTTTAATATATATTCTAAGATCAGTAGCGCTAAACGACAAATAATTACCCCCAAGAGAAATATTTCATCATTCCCTCGAGTGTTTAGTGCTGAACAAGATAAGCCACGTAATGATCAAGTTATGACCAGGTGAATTCGGAAATAAAGGTAGAAATAGCTAACTTAGTATACACTTTCCCCTGTCCGGTTGAAAAGCAAAATCTACGCTTGTGGCGGTATCCGGTACTCATGAACGTGTTCACACGTACAGACACCAAAGTGTTCACTTTCTTCGTGTGATAGGTAAATGGACGTCATACCCGGCCTCGGTCCCGGTCCTGGTTCAGGGAGTGAAAACTTGAACGCAGATCTCTGTAATAAATCGGTAATGAATTCATTCAAAGTAACGGATTTATAAAACTGGGCTATAATTTTAAATGGGAGATAATCCAATACAGTAAACACAAATACAATATGAATGGTGAAATAAAGAATAAATTAATAATGATATACAATAGAAAATATAGATAATTACAACTATGAATGAAAACTCATCAATGCAACGCTTACTGCGCAATAAATAATTCCGACATTCTATCGACGTTTTAGAATATCGGTCTAAAGTCGTTGAACCCCAGATATGAAAAGTAGATGAAAAAAGGTCCGGATAATTCGTACTATAGAATTAGAGGTATTCGTTTTTATACGATTCTCGTGTAATCCGAGTGTCTCTACTACTGGATAAGATTTTCTGAGATTCGCAACAAATATTTCGAAGTGCCGAGCTTAAAAAGTCTACCTATGGTTTGTGCTGGGTGATGAATTTGTAGTATCTGAAAGAATTCAGCAGAGTTCAGTATCTCAGCATGCGTACCTGGATTGTAGAAGTGGTATGAATTTAAATGTAACAGGACCTGAATATTAAGACCGATATAAAATGACAATTGATCAAGAATCAGCGGTGATGTTACTTAGGGCAGATACCTCAGTGTTACCGCATTACAACAAATGTATTCCTTAAAGAACACACCTGTGTCTTTGATCTATGCCGAACAAGCACGCAGGCTACCATGTGCTACATGCTAATGATCGTACCTGTATGGACTCCTTGTACCACCGGAAGCACCAAATTTATGTGGAATTTTTGTTTTATGGTTTGCATGCATGTAACAGATAGAAAATAACCAGAGAAATTGAATAACAGGATTTTCAGGACTAATTATTTGAGATGGTATAGAATCCAGAATCTGGTTCAAACCAATAAACAAAACACCGTCTATAGCCAAGAAAAGCTCAGCTATAATAAGCCATTAAAATGTTAAATGTTCTGAAAAGCCAAGATGTCAAATAGTTGGTTCATGGTCAAACACAGGGTTATAAAATATTCAAACTGTAAACACAGATCTGGAAAACAATTCATGATTTAAAAAACGCCACAACAATATATATTGTAAATGGACGACGATCCGTGTCTGTAGTCACAGCAACTAGACAACTGGAATAATAAACATACAACTGTTACTCTAATATCCTTCGGTTACAATAAACAGACACAGATATAGTAAATAGTCTACAGTTATAATAACCAGACACTGATTTAGTAAATAGTCTACAATTACAATAACCAGACACAGATATAGTAAATAGTCTACAGTTATAATAACCAGACACTGATTTAGTAAATAGTCTACAATTACAATAACCAGACACAGATATAGTAAATAGTCTACAGTTATAATAACCAGACACAGATATAGTAAATAGTCCACAGTTATAATAACCAGACACAGATATAGTAAATAGTCTACAGTTATTATAACAGACACAGATATAGTAAATAGTCTACAGTTATAATAAACAGATATAGATATAGTAAATAGTCTACAGTTATAATAAACAGACACAGATATAGTATAATAGTCTACAGTTATAATAACCAGACACAGATATAGTAAATAGTCTACAGTTATAATAAACAGACACAGATATAATAAATAGTCTACAGTTATAATAAACAGACACAGATATAGTAAATAGTCTACAATTACAATAACCAGACACAGATATAGTAAATAGTCTACAGTTATAATAAACAGACAGATATAGTAAATAGTCTACAGTTATAATAAACAGACAGATATAGTAAAAAGTCTACAGTTATAATAAACAGACAGATATAGTAAAAAGTCTACAGTTATAATAAACAGACACTGATATAGTAAATAGTCTACAGTTATAATAAACAGACAGATATAGTAAAAAGTCTACAGTTATAATAAACAGACACTGATATAGTAAATAGTCTACAGTTATAATAAACAGACACTGATATAGTAAATAGTCTACAGTTATAATAAACAGACACTGATATAGTAAATAGTCTACAGTTATAATAAACAGACACTGATATAGTAAATAGTCTACAGTTATAATAACAAGACACAGATATAGTAAATAGTCCACAGTTATAATAAACAGACACTGATATAGTAAATAGTCTACAATTATAATAAACAGACAGATATAGTAAATAGTCTACAGTTATAATAAACAGACAGATATAGTAAAAAGTCTACAGTTATAATAAACAGACAGATATAGTAAAAAGTCTACAGTTATAATAAACAGACACTGATATAGTAAATAGTCTACAGTTATAATAAACAGACAGATATAGTAAAAAGTCTACAGCTATAATAAACAGACACTGATATAGTAAATAGTCTACAGTTATAATAAACAGACACTGATATAGTAAATAGTCTACAGTTATAATAAACAGACACTGATATAGTAAATAGTCTACAATTATAATAAACAGACAGATATAGTAAATAGTCTACAATTATAATAACCATACACAGATATAGTAAATAGTCTACAGTTACAATATACAGACACAAATATAGTAAATAGTCTACAGTTATAATAACCAGACACAGATATAGTAAATAGTCTACAATTATAATAAACAGACAGATATAGTAAATAGTCTACAGTTATAATAACCAGACACAGATATAGTAAATAGTCCACAGTTATAATAAACAGACACAGATATAGTAAATAGTCTACAGTTATAATAAACAGACACAGATATAGTAAATAGTCCACAGTTATAATAAACAGACAGATATAGTAAAAAGTCTACAGTTATAATAAACAGACAGATATAGTAAATAGTCTACAGTTATAATAACCAGACACTGATATAGTAAATAGTCTACAATTACAATAACCAGACACAGATATAGTAAATAGTCTACAGTTATAATAACCAGACACAGATATAGTAAATAGTCCACAGTTATTATAAACAGACAGATATAGTAAATAGTCTACAATTATAATGAACAGACACAGATATAGTAAATAGTCTACAGTTATAATAACCAGACACTGATATAGTAAATAGTCCACAGTTATTATAAACAGACAGATATAGTAAATAGTCTACAATTATAATAAACAGATATAGATATAGTAAATAGTCCACAGTTATAATAACCAGACACAGATATAGTAAATAGTCTACAGTTATAATAAACAGACAGATATAGTAAATAGTCCACAGTTATAATAACCAGACAGATAAAGTAAATAGTCCACAGTTATTATAAACAGACACTGATATAGTAAATAGTCTACAGTTATAATAACCAGACACAGATATAGTAAATAGTCCACAGTTATAATAACCAGACAGATATAGTAAATAGTCCACAGTTATAATAAACAGACAGATATAGTAAATAGTCTACAATTATAATAAACAGACACAGATATCGTAAATAGTCTACAGTTATAATAACCAGACACAGATATAGTAAATAGTCTACAGTTATAATAAACAGACACATGTATAATAAATAGTCCACAGTTATAATAACCAGACACAGATATAGTAAATAGTCTACAATTATAATAACCAGACACAGATATAGTAAATAGTCCACAGTTATTATAAACAGACAGATATAGTAAATAGTCTACAGTTATAATAAACAGACAACAGATATAGTAAATAGTCTACAGTTATAATAAACAGATATAGTAAATAGTCTACAGTTATAATAAACAGATATAGTAAATAGTCTACAGTTATAATAAACAGATATAGTAAATAGTCTACAGTTATAATAAACAGATATAGTAAATAGTCTACAGTTATAATAAACAGACACAGATATAGTAAATAGTCCACAGTTATAATAAACAGACAGATATAGTAAATAGTCCACAGTTATAATAAACAGACAGATATAGTAAATAGTCTGCAATTATAATAAACAGACAGATATAGTAAATAGTCCACAGTTATAATAAACAGACAGATATAGTAAATAGTCCACAGTTATAATAAACAGACAGATATAGTAAATAGTCTACAATTATAATAAACAGACAGATATAGTAAATAGTCCACAGTTATTATAAACAGACAGATATAGTAAATAGTCTACAATTATGATAACCAGACACAGATATAGTAAATAGTCTACAGTTATAATAAACAGACACTGATATAGTAAATAGTCTACAATTATAATGAACAGACACAGATATAGTAAATAGTCTACAATTATAATAAACAGATACAGTAAATAGTCTACAGTTATAATAACCAGACACAGATATAGTAAATAGTCCACAGTTATTATAAACAGACAGATATAGTAAATAGTCTACAATTACAATAACCAGACACTGATATAGTAAATAGTCCACAGTTATTATAAACAGACAGATATAGTAAATAGTCTACAATTATAATGAACAGACACAGATATAGTAAATAGTCTACAGTTATAATAACCAGACACTGATATAGTAAATAGTCCACAGTTATTATAAACAGACAGATATAGTAAATAGTCTACAATTATAATAAACAGATATAGATATAGTAAATAGTCCACAGTTATAATAACCAGACACAGATATAGTAAATAGTCTACAGTTATAATAAACAGACTGATATAGTAAATAGTCCACAGTTATAATAACCAGACACAGATATAGTAAATAGTCTACAGTTATAATAAACAGACAGATATAGTAAATAGTCTACAGTTATAATAACCAGACACTGATATAGTAAATAGTCTACAGTTATAATAAACAGACAGATATAGTAAATAGTCCACAGTTATAATAACCAGACAGATAAAGTAAATAGTCCACAGTTATTATAAACAGACACTGATATAGTAAATAGTCTACAGTTATAATAACCAGACACAGATATAGTAAATAGTCCACAGTTATAATAACCAGACAGATATAGTAAATAGTCCACAGTTATAATAAACAGACAGATATAGTAAATAGTCTACAATTATAATAAACAGACCACATATATCGTAAATAGTC